CCCTCAATTGTCCTCAGTGTGAAAAGATGGATCTCAAAATACAGTCACTGCTGGAAAGGGTTCAAATATGCAAAAGATACTGGAAAACTGAAGAATCTGCTGGAGGATTTTTCTGAAGAACAGCAGGCAGTTGAACTGTTCAGAACAAACAAGGGACAACCATCACAAAACAAAAAGCAGTTGTGGATCATCTTGGTAACCACAAACAGTATTAAGAACCAAGGGATCCCAAACGTTTAAAGGGGTTATTTTAATAATTTCAGCTATTTTTTTTTGTCTTGTGGACCAAATGTAAACATATTATGTAAAAAAAAATCTTACTCAGGACAGTACTAAATAAAAAATAACATGCATTTTGTATGATCTCTCTTATTTTGTTAAAATTATTCACATTTTCTGCAAGGGGTTCCCAAACTTTCGCATGCCACTTTATGTTACAATTTAAAAGTAAATCCACATTGTTTTTAAAGTGGGTATCTTCTTCCATTTGACCCTGTATATAAATTAATATACTGTATGTCTGACCCTGTCAGTTAAACACTGTAAAAAAAATTATATTATCAATGATTGAACCAATTGCAACTTAATTTTTTAAGTTAAATGAGATTCAACTTGACTTTTTTTTTCTTTAGGTCAGTTTAATATAAATTAAGTTGAAATGACTTGTACAGCCAGTCTGATGGTACTTAAACATATATGCACAATTCAGAAACACTTTGCTATTGGCGACACCTGTGGCATCAACTGAACTTAAGTTTTTTTTAAGTTGAGTTGGGTGGAAATATTTTACAGTGTACCTCCTATAAAAGACAACGGTTTTAGACAGGCCTCCAAGGCACCATAATGTCATATCTAATAATCCAGAACAAATTTAAGTGAGCTTTAGACCAAGCAAATATTAGTATAATATAAGATTGTGGAATTCCACAGACAGCAAATCAAAATCCAACCAGACACCGTAATAGACAGGATGTGTCTTGTTGCCATCTCAATATATTTCCTATGAAGGCAGCATTTTTCAGCTTTCAGACACAGCCAATAAAAAAAACAACAACAACATTTTAGTCCTGCATATTAATTGTCTTAGTTGGGCAAAGTGCATTTCTTTTAGAGAGGTACAAAGTGTTACAGAACCAATCTAGAGATAATATAGACAGAAAAGAGTTGGAGAGCAGTTGAGGTAAATGTAATGTTTTTGCCACTGCATCACATCATTCATTATTATGTGAATCAAATTGGACAAGAAGACTCCAGAACTGTGTTGGCACAGCTGTGCTGTCATAGATAAATGGGCTATTGCTTGATATCTTAATGGCTCTCATAGGCACACACACGCACAGCTCCACACACACATGTACACAGAGCCACACGCGGCCCTCATGATGGCCTTCTTTCTCATTAATTTGCTCAGTGAGCGGAAGCAGGGCATTGGGTCAAACTCAACCGGTTAAATACCATCTTACAAACACTAGTCAGCCGAGTAAACAGATAGTACACGGGTAAAGACCTT